TGTTACAGGAAGATTTCTGCAGCTCAGAGAATAAAATATGGTTGAATTTGACTAATAAGGGAATCGCCTATTTGTCATGTTTACCTACGGTCGAGTGAAGGCTCAGCCTGCAGCTCAGAGAGTTTCATTTCCAAATGAGCTTATCAGGATTTGTCTGTCTAATCCAGCCAGTATTGTAGGCAACAGCTACTTAATGTTGGAGCATGTGCAAGTGTTTTTATTCAATAACCCAGTCTTAGAAGGGTGACCTGCCTGCAGTGTTCTCCATTTATCTGACTGACTAGATTACAGCCAGTGTGCCTATTTCCAAGTCTTAATGGAACAGACAGAAAGAGATGCAGGGAGTGAAAGAGAGATGAGGATGCAGTAGCCTAATCCTGGCCATAGTTCCCAGTCTCAGCAGCCTGGCCTATGCAGACATACTTCTCAGAAATGACAGAAACCACGAACAGTAGTGACACTTTTGATTCTGGCCTGGAGTTTTTTTTCTTTGTACACCTGCTGCCTTCTGGTTGTCCATATTAAAGTATGCCATATACAGCCGGTCTCGCCGTTTCAGGTCCAAAAAGTTTGCTCCCTCTGGATCCCTCTCTCACACTGTTGACACGTCAACATGTCATCTTGGTTATCTGCTTGGCATCGTGCCGTGACTCAAACAGCGCGGTGTATCTGACACATCAGCGCTGACACTCTGACAGACTGGTGTTGCCAAAACTGACGGTGTCACCTCAGACACTTGACAGGACATTTGTAAAATGTGTCTTCAAGTGGCAAATGTGGTGCAATATGCTATATACCAAAACACAGTAGCCAGTACTGGACAATAAAATAATTTGTAAATGGCCATCTTTTTATAATAATGGGGTACCAGATTTACAGTCATCTTTAAACTCCCCTTCAAAAATAGGTCACATTTGCAGTATGTGTTCATCACACTGTTATGTTTTCCTCTCTGTAAACACATTATTGATACACACCGTGATCCAAATGGCAAACAGAAGCTACTGCTTGTTTCAGCTACTAACCTCACTAACTATCTGGCTTCCTGTGTGTCCAGCTGAAAGTGACCATTTGCTAAACCCCACCCCCAGACAGCGACTGTCGTAGCTTATCAGCTATAACTAGGCACAGCCAGCCTGTCAAGATTTGGACTCCTTCACATGCTGAAACTGTGCATGCACAGAGCTCTAATTAGAGTGATGCTCACTTTCTAGTGTTCAGAGGATGGTGTCATAATTTTAGACTCTTTTCCAAAAACACAGGAGCAGAAGTCTAATTGATGAATTAAACTTATAACCCCACCATCCCCAGCTAACTAGTTAACTGCAGTACCTACTACCAACAGTATTAAGCTAGTCAGTGTATATGCAGTGCACGAGTTTAGAGTACAAGTAAAACTTTAATTGATTTGAAGTTTACACTCCAGGCAATGTGGGTTAACATAAGCTAGATAGCATCACATTTGCCAAGCTTATTGATTATGACATATTATTTAATCATTTTCCATTCTAAAATGAAGGCATACTATTGAAAAAAACACCAAAGCAGAATATCTGCTGTAATCCACTGTGCTGCTTTCCTAAAGATGTTTTCTATTTGTAAATTTTCATTCAAGGACTGTGTCAGAATAACAAAAACATTTTTACTGTACTAAAATAACAGGACTAGCCTGAAATCAGATCAGTGTTGTTCTATCAATCTATCGGTACTAATCTATCAATCATCAGCTTTTGCATAATCATTATCTTGTCTTTTATCAGCTACAGCTGATCAAATTATCTAGCAACAGTCATCATTTCAGTTCATAAAGTCGAGGGTCCTCTTCTGGAAATGAGAAACGACGTTTGTCTTCCTTCCTATTTGCAGTGGAAAACCCACTGTTTTGAAAATTACTACAAATCTGCCTCTGTTGTCATCGTAAGCTGCATGTGTGCTGTGTGAGAACAGAAATCTTGACAGGCTTAGTCAATGGTCAGAACTCATTCAGTTAAACTCTGCTTCAGTCTTGTTGTCAGGAGCTAGAGTCAAGAGTCACAAGTGCGAAAGCTGGAAGGGAAATACTGACCCCTCATGCCGCTGTGCTTTACAGGTCCTGGAGCAGTGGGAGTCCCAGCAGGCCCAGAGCAACCCTGCCCAGACCAGCCTGTCGGTCCCCGTTATTTCCCACAGCGCCCCCTTTCCAACACATCATCTTCACAGGGCCTTGGTCCCAGACTCAGCCTCCGAGGCCTTGGCTCTTGCTAAACCAGACCCCTATGACCTTTATGAGAAGTCCAGGGCTATCTATGAGAGTAGGCGTAAGTACCAGAGCTGATACTGCAGGTGTAGCACTATTACAAAATCCTGAAGCAGGTGGATGAATGCAGATTCATCACTCTTTGTCTTTATCGGACACACAAACACACAAAGCTGTGTGTGAGCTGACCTCTTTGTATCAAACTGAAAGATCTGTCACTGAACCTTCAGCACAAACATCTCAGCGTTAAATGATCATCAGAAGCTCTTCAGATATTTTCCCTCATTACCATTTGCAGATCTTTATCCTCCTATTATCTCGTTTGATCTTTGTTCACTAAATGCTTATATAAGCCAGCACACACATGAATGCAGCCTCCATTCACATTTACCTCCCAATAATTCTGGCAGCTCACAGAATAAAGGAAATGTGAATAAGCACTTCACAAGTAGTTATATCTTTATACTGTTGGGATATAATGCTTTGGGGCCCGCAATATTACAATTGTAACAGGCTTGTAACAGGTGGAAAATGAAATTTATCTTGTTATGACATCATCAAGATGCATTAACACTCTTTTGCCCCATGCAAATTTTAGGCAGTCGGAACTAGCACTGTGTGTATGCATTTTTTTTTTTGTGTGTGTATGTATGGTGGTACTTTAGAAATGCTGAGGTCACGGCTCTATGTTGATGTTTAAGTTGATTTAATTTAGTAAAGCGTCTGTTTTATGTCCCATCATAAATATCAAAATTTAGTAAATCCAGTTTTCTCTGTGTTTCCTAGAAAAACCTTTGGTGAGTTTTTTTAGTTGCCACAGGCCTCAGTGAGTTGGCTAAAAAAGCCAAACCGAGCATTGCAGGGATGGCGTACTTTTGTAGGCCAACCAAGAAGTTAAAACTGCCCTGGTTCCCTCGACAAAGACCCAGTGGGTATTTTTCTAAAGCTTTTAGATTATTGCAGAAAATAAACTCTGTGACAAATAAAACACATTACATGTTCAGCAAAATAATCTTCACAAGTGACCACAACCTTTTCGATTTTTGAAGCCCAAATATAATTACCAGAAGTGAAGAGCTGTTGTTAGGCTATAAACGGTCACCACCACGCCTTCCAACGTGCAATTTGATTTATTGTGCTTACCTCCTTTACAAAATCCTTTGCTCTTAGCGTGATCTGATCTAGCTAGTGATCATGGCTGTGTCAGTAACAACAGTTTGCAAGTGCACGAGTTTAAACACAATGAGGTTGTAAAGGTGGACTAGTGAGTACATGAGTCTTTGTATTTGGTGGGATGACATTTAATGTCCACTAACAACCTCTGTAGTCTCATATAGCCACTTGTTAGCAGCTGCCTTTTTTAAGACATAAAAGCATCAAAAATCACAAGTGCAGTATGTACTGGTGTATTTTATGTCATACAACAAAACGTGGAAATGTATTGGCCTTGTGTTAACCACAGACCTTATTTCAGGCGTCTAACCAAAGACCTATTCAAAAAAAACTCATAGACTTCAGGGTGAAGGAAATGGAAGTGGAAAAATACTTACTCAGGACTCACTACTACAGCACTCAATTACATAGAATCTACAGATATTGTAATCAAAATTCCAAGTGTTTAATTGTAGAATCTAAAATCCCAACAGGTTACTAACCCCTAAATTCTAAAAACAAAATACCTAAAATACTGAGGGCACGGCCTCATATTTGACCATATGGGATCTACAAATACTGGAGTCATCTATCAAATACCCATCAAGTGAAAAACAAGAATAGCAGCTGCAGTTTTGTGTATTTACTGCACTATATGCCAAGTCTGATGCTTCACTTGTGTTGTTCAGGAAGTTAGTAGTTGTTGTTAATATTAAAATTAGGAATGTAGTCTTGCCGTGTGTGTTTAGTTTGCTGACACTCGTGGTAGAATCTTGTCTGATTCTGCAGGTTTACATGAGATAGTCAAGTTTTCTCTGTTAGGACTGGTGTTCATTCTTATGTAAGGCTGTTATTCAAGAGGACGTGGCTGTTGGAAAGTCTCCTTATCAAACCTCTTTATCCTCAGGTCTCTCTACAACTGCTGCCCTCCTTTCAGTAAAGGTCAGGAATTGGGTCTGCAAGGCTGAGCAGTGAAAAGGCACAGATGTTAGGAATTTCCATTTGTCTCCATTTGCCCCTCTGACTGGTGTGTCTGAAGTAAGGTGTGACCTTTCATGCAGAATCACAACCCCAGGCCACTGGCCTGCTCTGCTAATGTTGGTTAATTTTCTTTTACCTTGGTAGATTTGTGTTACCATGTATGTAAACAGGTTGGTTTAAAGGGTCAGGTCTCCAAACTCTGAAATATATCTTCTAATTTACTTCTAGTGTTCTATCAAAAACACTCCATATGTCTGCAATAGGTTCTCAGTGTTGTATTCAGACTAACAGGGACATTGCTTCTAAAAGGAAATGTTAAAATAGCTAATTTGAATATTTCTGTGAGTGTCACAAATTAAAACCCATTCACTGTCACAGTTTGGAGGTAGAAGCCGAAATCTCAGAACCAGGTATCTCAAAACCGGAGCAAATAAAGCCTAAACTAACTGCAATGTTGTACAGTACATACCACTAAAGATTGGTGATTTTATTTGTCTGATTTGGGTGTTGCCACCCTTTTCAGTAAAAGTCAAGTCTTTCTTTAAAAATAATGCCAACCATGGCTATTGTGACAGTTC